CTTGTATCTTACCCCCTTCACATGGCTCTGGGTTCTTGCAGGTGTGGATGTGGTCTGGATGTTGTCCTGTGTCCTGTGGTCTCTATTTTAGGAAGATTTTTCTTTGTTATATTTTCATAGCTCTATGTGTTTTTGGGAGGAGATTTCCACTGCTCTACTCACACCGCCATCCTCCTTCCTTTCTTTTAATGTAGACACACACAAGCATACATTTTCCTCTAAATCGTTTCTTTGTATCTTTTAAGTTGTTGTATGTTGTGTTTTTATTTTCATTCAACTTACAGCATGTTCTAATTTCCTTTATAATTTTTCTTTGACCAATTTGTTTTTTTAAGAATACACGTTTAAAATTTCCACATATTTGTGAATTTTCCAGATTTCTTTCTCTTACTAATTTTTAATTCCATTCCACTGCATTCTGAGAATATGCTTTTAGGATTTTAATCTTTTCAAAAAACTTATTGGAACTTATCTTGTGGCCTAACACATGGTTTACCTTGGAGAATGTTCCAAGTACACTTAAAAAGAAAGTATATTCTTCTGTTGTTGGGTTGGTGTTCTGTAGATGTCTGTTAGGTCTCATTGGGTTATATTTTTAGTTGAGGTCCCCTGTTTCCTTGATTATCTTCTGGTTGCTCTATGCGTGATGAAAATTTGGGCTTTGGAATCTCCAGCTATTATTGTTGAACTATTTCTCTCTTCAGTTCTGTCAGTTTTGCTTTCTACACTTTTAAGCCCAGTTATTAGGTGCTGGTATGTATTTTTTAAGGTAGTGTTGTTGAGCATAGAGGTCTCCCAATGTTCAAGCACCCGAATGGGGAGCAGAGCACTGGGGAAGTACCACATACCCATACACCGTCTGTCCCTAAACTAGTCGGAAGCCAGTATTCTCATACTTTATCCTTCAAAACTTGCCTTTAATTTTATACAGCATATTGCTGTACAGTAAATAAAGCAATACACTATAACTACAGACAACAATAAGAAATAATCTAACAATTGAATGAACAGTCAGACACAAAAAAATACATACTGTGTGATTCCATTAATGTGAAGGTCAAAACAATCAATGTTAAACATTAAATGTGTTAGAAATCTATGGTGTTGGAAATCAAGATAGCATTTACCTCTGAGGTATAGGTGTAATGATGAGTACAGCTTCAAATTAGTCAAATCAGATTCAAATTAATCAGATTCAAGGCACAGAACAGAGGTATCAACTGGCAGATAGGAGAAATAGTGTTATTTGTCTACGTACGAGAAATTTGTCTACGTATCTACTCTCCCTAGAATCATTTGAATATCCCCCTCACTTATTAAAATTTTAACTAGGTTTGAAAGTCAAATCTGATTTGCACAGTTCTGAAGTTTTGCTTTCCTATGTTTTTAGATCTTTCAAAAAATAAAGTACAATATTTCTCCTTCCCATTTTTTTTTTTTTTTTGTGAAGGCCTGAAGGAGAAAAAAAAATGAAAGAAGCAAACACAATCACATTTAAACTCTCCAAGTCTAAGAAGGGTCCAGGGCCTGACTGCTGTGGGGGTGTTTGAGTGGTTCCTACCCTGTACTTCACTGGGGGTTACTGACAGCAACAGCCTAGAATGGATATTCCTTGAGAATAGGCAAACCTACCATAAGATATAATGGAAAATAAACAAAAATGTCTTATTTAGAATGCATAGGCCTCTAGAGCAGCTTCAAGTTCTTTGGATTTTTTTCCTTACTTTTTCAATCCACCTGTTGCCTGTATTTCCCTCTTGTGGGAATAGCACAAAACAGAGAATGGTGGCACTCTGCTGCCTTCTACTTTCCCTGGCTCCTGTTGCATAACAAGGTCTGCCAAGAAATCCCAGAGGGGAAGGACTCCCTTGAGATCCAGAACACAGTAAGGGGTCCTATGCACAGAGGGCTGTGGCCTCTGCAGGTGGGCAGTAGCCAACATAAGTGTTTAGTCACTCTGCATCCTTAGCCTCCACAAATCTTCCTCCTTATTGTGAGATGCCTGAGAGGAAACTCTTATTTATAATCTCAAGTACCATATGGAATTTGTAATGGAAATTTAACACAGTTTCCCCATCAAGGTGTGGGATCATGTATTGATTAGTGTATCTTCACAGTGAATCTTCAGATATGACTAAATCAAGTCTCAGAGACCATCAAAAGCCCCTGAGGGTTTCAATAGATTGAGAACTACCCTTCTTTTTCCTCAAATAAAGCTTTTTCCACCCACTCCCTGATGCCCCAAATTCCAACATTAGAAATCTGTTCCTTTAACTTTTGTAGTATTCATAGACTTTCTTAGGCACTAACAAACTTGAGACCTTTGCCATGTGGAAAAGAAAGCAACAACATAGAAAGGAAAACAGAAGTCATCAATGAGAAATTTTAACCTTTTTAATATTTTTGTCAAGAACAATAGTTTGGCAAAGCTTTGATGGAATCAAAATTTTCATCATCATGCTTCAGTTTACAGTGTTTCATTTTATCTGAAATTTATTCTTGTTGAGTATGTATTTTCTTCTGCATCATCATCACCATTATCTTCTCCTTTTACCAGATATGGACACTAATGGTTTTATATTGCTAGTAAAAAGCAAAGTGATAAATCCTTTGGTTTCCAGAGCTCCTTGGTTTTCCCCAACAGTGGGTCCACCTGTAAGGACACTTCCTGGACCACATCAGTTCCTGAACCATTCCTGAAGCAGTAGGACACGTTTGTGAGCTTTGCAGAATTTTTTTCTTGTGGCTTTGTAGGCAAGAGGCTCTTACCCCAGTCCAGACATGCTGACAAATAATAAATAAAATTATTAAATTATATTGTTATTAACAAATAACAATAAATAAAATTAGCAGATACCAGAAGAATGAGTCAAGATTAGCACAGTATGATCTGTAGCCCAAAACATCTACTCTCTTGGCTCAGGACTAAGGCCATTAGGTAAGAATCCTAATTCCTTGAATCAGAAGTGACTGTGTCCTACTGCCACAAAAGTTTGTATGTTGTGCAGTTTCCACCTCTGCTTCTGATAGACACTGCTTCTGAGTAACAAGATGTTTTGACAAGTGGAAGCTATTGGTAAAAGAATAGATATATTAATTTTTCAATCCTTTTTCTTAGTATGTTGCAATAGGGTTTTGCATAAAGAAGTATTGTTCCTTAGCTCACAGTCCATTTTGTTACATCTTTTCCTGGTCAAATTCAAGGTTTGAAAGGTAGTCATAAATTAGTACAGTATTTCTACCAGTTGGGCATAGCAGCTAAGAAACATTTTGCATCATTCTACAGTAGATATTTAATCTTAAGTTTGTAAATCAGGTAAAGATGTAAAATGTAAAAATGCATGAAATGTAATACCTATTGTTTATATTCTTTACAAATATATATCAAATGTCAGAGTAGTTTATGATTTCATTTTTATAATTCATATAATGCAGTTATATTTTCTTAAAAATAAACTAAAATATCAGTGCTATTTCAACAATTTTTATTTAAATTTTTGATGTTACTAAATATAATTTGTATTTTAACTTTTAACTACAAAATTTTTGGTAATTTACAATAAAAATAACATGGAAACTATGTGAAAATAATTTTAAGTTAGTTGACTTCTTACATTTATTTTAAATTAATATTTAATGAGAATATATTCCAAGTTATATATTTTCAGTACATATAGTAGTAATTATAACATTTTCAATTATAATAATTACAGTAATAATTTCAACATATTTCAATAATAATTTTATCATTGAAAATCGGGATGTAGAAATTGTGATAGTATAAAATACAAAATGGATCTCTAAGAAGAGAAAAGCCTGGAAAAATAACAAAAGAAGTGGTCAGTGAAGAACAGGATTCAGGGTGTTACACGTGATCCCAGCACTTATGCAATCTCCTCCTTTCCTCAGGTTGAGACCTGAGCCTTCTTTTTAGCCAGTAGAGCACAACAAATGTGATGGATGTCACTTCCCATCCTTATGTAAGACCGTGATGCCCATTTTGATGGGAAACTCTTTCCTTTGCTGGTTTTGATGAAGCGAGTCATCATGTTGAATAAGCCTATCTGGCAGGGAACTGAGGGTGGCCTCCAGTTGATGACCAGCAGGAAACTAAGTCCTTCACTCATGTGGCCAAAGGAACTAAATTCTGCCAAAATCCATGAATGTCTGGAAGCAGATCTTTCCCCCAGGGAATCTTGAGATAAGACAACAATTCTGGACAACTTGGAAGATCCTGAACAAAAGATCTGGGTAAACCTGCCCAGATCCCTGATCCACAGAAACTATAAGATAATAGATCTTTCAAGTCTCTAAGTTTGTAGTGATTTATTATGCAGTAATAGAAAACCAATGCATAGTCTGCTTGAAATTTTAAAACCTTGAAACCACAAAATTTACCAACCTATTGAGCATAGCCTCCATGAAAATTCTCAAATGAGACATTACAGATTCCTTACTTAAGGAATTAAGAGTTTATTGCTGATCAAGTGAAGATAATCAATAAAAATACTCTCATCAAATACACAACCTAAAATCAGACAAAATGTGTGTAATTTCATATTCTTTAATAAATGAAACATAATTTTTATCAAAACAATAAGAACTTAAAAGAGAATGCCTAATATAAAATTCACAACTCAGAAGCAAAAATTATAGCTTTGACCTTCCTATTAGATAAAATTACATATAGGAAATTAGCATATATAAGAAATTTTTTAAAGGGTGCTTCACTAGAATAGATAATGATCTTTGTATCATCTAAACAGTTTGGTAATATACTCTCATGATCTTACAATGCATCCTTCATATTCTCTTGACAATCTAGAATGTTTCTAGTAAAATCCAATAGTAACTAAATTAATGATTGAAATATTTTACTTTATCCAAAATATTTTCAATATATATTTTATATATATTATATATATGTAAATATATGTAAAATATATTGTTATCTCTTTCACAACTGTTACTGAACATAAACTTTGTCCAATGAAGATATTTGTCACTGGAAACAAATTTTTCATTAAAGGAACTCAATTGTTCCAGGCAAGGGAAACAAAAGCAAAAATAAACAAGTGGAACTACATCAGACTAAAAAACTTCTACACAGCAAAGGAAACCATTAACAATAAAAAAGGCAAGCAACAGAATGAGAGAAGATGTTTGCAAATAATATAGCCATTAAGGTACTAATATTCAAAATATATAAAGAATTTATGCAACCAACACTCAAAAAACAAATAATCCAATTAAAAAATGGGCAGAGGAACTGGTAGACATTTTTCCAAAGAGGATACACAGATGGCCAATAGACACATGAAAAGATGCTCTACATCACTAATCATCAGGGAAATGCAAATCAAAACCACAATGAAGTATCACTTCACACCAGTCAGAATGGCCACTGTCCAAAAGAAAAGAAATAACAAGTGTTGGCAAGGATGTGGAAAAAAGGGAACCCTCCTCCTGCACTGCTGGTGGGAATGTAAATTGGTGCAACTGCTATGGAAAGCAATATGGAGATTTCTCAAAAAATTGAAACTAGGAATACCATTTGACCAAGTAATTCTACTTTTCACTTCTGAGAATTTACCCAAAGGAAAAATAATCCGTGATTTAAAAAGATATGCACTCCTATGTTTATTGCAGCACTATTTAAAATAGCCAAGATATGGAAGCACTGTAAGTGTCCATTGACAGATGAATGGATAAAGAAGATGTAGTACAGGGATACAATGGAATATTACTCAGTCATAAAATAAGAATGAAATTTTGCCATTTGCAACAATATGCATGGACCTAGAGGATGTTATTCTAAGTGAAATAAGTCAGACAAAGAAAGAAAAATACAATATGATTTCACTTATATGCAGAATCTGCAAAACAAACAAATAGAAATAGAACTATAGACACAGAGAACAGACTAGACTGGTGGTTACCATAGAGGAGGGAAGTGAGCAAATGGGTAGACTAGATGAAGAGGTGCAAATATCCAACTATACAATAAATTAGTCATGGGTATAAAATTACATTAGCATGCAAATATAGTCAATAATATTGCAATATCTTTTTATGTTGACAGACATCAACCACACTTGTGGTGAGCAATTGTTGAATCACTGTGTTGTACACCTGAAACCAATATAATATTGACTGTATTTCAATTTTAAAACATGGGAACAAAACAAATTGTGGAGTTTTTCCAAATGTAGTGTTATCTAAATAAATAAATAGCTTAAAATATGCTTGAATAAAAACAAATAATTGATGCTCTTCAAAAATGGCAAGTAAACAGCAAAATAGTATGTTGACAGAACGTACCTAAAAGGATGTTATGCATCCAATATTTAGCTAAGATAATATTTATCATGAAATTTACAGAACAGACATTACAGAGAACAAAACACACCCAGGTTTATAGAGATGATTTGAAGTTCGATGTAAGAATGACTAAACATACAAAATATATATAAAGTGATTTTAAAAAATCATCACTGCTTGAGAAAGAGAATCCAATATGTAATTATTAATGTAATACTAAATCCAGTGAGAAAAGACATCATATATAATAAATATTTTATTCAGTTCACTAGATTGTAACAAGGAGTGAAAGTTAATATTGAACAAAGAACACTTATCATACATATTTTTGAAATAATATAAAACAAGTCAAAATTATTGAACATTCCCTGACTTTAAGAAAAGACAAACTTTGGCTTAAGCAGATTTACCCAAAGATTACATTTCTTGATACAACAGGTTTAAAAATTGTCTTTAAAATCACCCATGGACACATGATAGAAAAACTGACTAAATTTTATCAAACTAATTGCATTTAATTTAGACAAAATAAAAAATACAGCAGAAGAACTAAGTCAGTTTTCAAAATATGAGGAAATTGTAGTCTTTGGCAGGATATTATATTAATTTTTAATTTAAACTGTGCTATCAACAGTTATTTTGTACAAACTGTTGCTTAGTATTAATGATGTTGGGAAAAACCTAACAAAAAAGAAAGAAAATTAAGAGTTAAGAGTTAAATTAGTTCATTTTATTTTTTTCTCTTTTAACTATATTTTATTTTTTAGTACAGTTTCAGGTTCATAGTAAAACTGGACAGGAGGTGAAGAGTTCTCATGTACCCTGTCTGCACACATGCACAGCCACGCCATGTGAACATCCTATACTAGCCTGGTACATTTGTTACAACTGATGAAGCTACACTAACATATTGTAATCACATTAGGCTTCACTCTTGGTGGTGTACATTCTGTAAGTTTTGATAAATGTATAATGACATGTACCCATCATTATAGTATCATATAGAATAATTTCACCACCCTAAAAATTCTCTGTGTTCACCTATTCATTCCTTTCTCCTCTTAACCCATAATAGCCACAGGTATTTTTGTTATCTCCATGTTTTTGCCTTTTCTAGAATGACATGTAGTCTTGTAGACATCAAACCACCACATAGGTAGGCTGTTTGTTTTTTTTTAAGTTTCACTTCCAATCTCTGTCATTTAGTTCCTGAATTTAAACCTTTTACAATTTAGGTAATTATTGATAGATCAAGGATTAAATGTACCATTTTATTGTTTGTTTTCTCTTTGTTCTTTCTGGGTTTATTTTTATATTTACCTTCTTTCTTTTTAGATCTTTCATGTGAGTTTCTTGAACATAAAATTACATTTTATTTTATATATAGTGTCTTTGTATTGCTATTTTAGTGGTTACTTAGGCTTATGTTATATGTACATAACTTATCCAGGTCTATTCATGTC